CCTTCCCCTGCCCCTTCCCCTGCCCCTCCCCCTACACGTGACGTCACATCTGTCAGACTCGACCTCCTGCCAGTCTGTTCCGTGACGTCATCAGTATCGCTGTCCGCGTCCCCGCCCAGCTGGAACTCCACACGTTTTGGGGACGGTAGTCCTGACCCTGACCCCGACCTTGAACCTAGTCCTGACCCTGAATCTGACCCTGACCCTGACCCTGACTTTGACCCAAGACTTGATCCTGACTTTAGTCCTGACTTTGACCCTGACCCTGACTTTGCACCTGACCTTGACCCTGACCCTGATCCGGACTGAGACCCAAACCCGCCTGTAGCACTCTGCCCAGACACCCTCCTGCCGCCTGCTTCTTCATCAAATGACACCCTCCTACCGCCCACTTCATCATCAAAAGACACCCTCCTGCCGCCCGCCCCACCAGACACCCTCCTACCGCCCACTTCATCATCAAAAGACACCCTCCTGCCGCCCGCCCCGCCATGTGACGTCACAACGGTCAGTGCTTGCAGGGTCTCACGTCTGTCTCTCGGCACGTACAACCCAAAGTCACAAGCTTGTCTCTGTCTCTCCAATTCCTCCTCCCCCTCCCCCTCCACCTTCTCCTCCCCCTCTACCTTCTCCTCCCCCTCCACCTTCTCCTCTACCTCCTCTTCCTCCTTCTCCCCCCTTGCGTTTCCGTAGTTGTAAGAGTCAGTTGCATCCAGGTACAACAACCTCCTCCCATCCTGACTCCTCCCATCCTTCCTCCCCACAGCCTCCTTCCCTCCAGTCTCCCTCCCTCCAACCTCCCTCCCTCCAACCTCCCTCCCCCCAACCTTCCTCCCCACAGCCTCCTTCCCTCCAGCCTCCCTCCCCGAGCTGTTTCCTTTGGTCTCTATTCCCGCGGACTTGCCTCGCCAGACGTCCTCTCCATTACGTCTGGTGACGTCACCGCCTGTCACTTGTGCTCGTTTCTCATCGCGAATGTCCCTGCCAACCTCTCCCCCAATGTGCCCACCTCTCCCATTGCCCCCACCTCCCCCATTGCCCCCACCTCCCCACACTTCTCCGTTCTCAGAACCTCGAAGCTTGACCCCCAGTCCTGACCTTTCCCCCGTATCTTCTACACTCCCTCCTGAGTCCCTGGTCACACCCCTTCCGTCTCTGTCACAAGAACGGTCTTCCTCTTTAGGTTTTCCTGGTGGGTTGTTGTTGTTGTTGTTGTTTTGTATTTGTTGCTGGGCTGGAAACTGTGGAGTGCAAAAGAAAAAAGAAAAATTTGTCCGAATCATAAAGAAAGACAGCTAGATTTGGGGATTTGATTATAATAGAACTGATATATAATATTATGGTATAACACGTATTTCAAAAAATGAATAATAACAAACATCGTTTTTAACGAACCATCACTCCCCTCTCCACACACTTTTTAAGATCACGCAGTGGCAGATATACACACCACCAAGAACTTATGAAGAGATATACAAAACAAATCTCCTGCAATCTGCAATTTGGCTGATGTCGAAATAAATGTTCACCTTATGATTGTGTTGCTGTTGCTTTTTTACTTACACACCTAATCATCATCATCCACTGCTAGATCTGCGACACACATCGGCAATCATGATTCTTCAATTATTCCTTTGCTCGGGTGCTCTTAAAAAAGCTACGTTTCCCTGTTACCCATTTGTTTAGGTTCCCTAAGTATGTTGTTCTGGGCCTACCCGTACCACGTTTGCCTTCAATTTTGCCAGTGAGAGCTAAATTTAGATGTTCAAGACCCTCATATCTGTTTATGTGTCCCAAAAGCTGCATTTGTCGTGTCCTGATTGTTTTAAACATTGAGCGTCCCACGTGGACTTCTTCAAGTTCTACCTCATTTGATTTCTTTTCTTTCCGCGATATTCTTGGCAGTCTCCTAAGAAACCACCTTTCTGCTGCTTCTTTTTTCTATTTTCACTGTCTTTAGTGATTGTCCAGCATTCACAGCCATAAAGAAGGGTTGAGCATACATAGCATTTCAGAACTTTCATTTTGATAGTCATTGAGATGTTTCTATTTTCAGGATTGGGCTCATTTTTATTGAAACTAACCTTAGCCATTGCAATCATCCGTTTTATTCTGTGGAACATTTGGCATCAGATCTTATCATATATCCTAGATTTCTAAACTGTCGGACTTGTTTGATCTTTTCACCTTTGCTAATGAGATTACAAATTGGATTTGTTGCTTTTCAAAACAATATATAACCATGCATTCTGTTTTCTTTACATTCAACGCTAATCCTTTGCGTTCACTTTCTGTTACAACAGTATCTAGAAGCAATTGAAGGTCCTTTTCTGAGCCAGCTATTAAAACTGTGTCATTTGTATTTTCTCTGTTTAATTTGAGACCTGGACATTCTTCTATGTTTCTAAGGATTGTTTCACTGTACATGTTAAAGAAGTCTGGTGACATAACACATCCTTGCCTCACTCCTCGCCTAATCTGCTTATATTCACTGTATTCTCCATTAATTCGTACAGCAGCGTTTTGGTCCCAGTACAAATTCCTGATAATTCTTAGATCTTTTCCTTCTATTTCTAGCTTTTCCAGTATTTTAAATAGCTCATCATGTCTAACTTTATCGAACGCCTTTAAATAATCCATGAAGCATAAATACAGATCTTTCTGTGCTTCAATACATTTTTCTATTAACAATGTTAAGGTGAATGTAGCACTTCTGGTGCCCTTGTCAAGAACGAAAGCCGAATTGCGTTTTAGATATCTCTGGTCTTACATTTTTCTCTATCTTCCTATTAGTACTCGCAGCAATATTCTTTTTGGTAAAATGACTCTTAAGGCTAATTGTTCTATGCGTATCACACTCTGTACCACCTGGTGTTTTAGCTAAAACTATAAAAACTGACTTCATCATACCTTCTGGGATCTGACCTATGTCACATAATAGCAATTTATTGATTATATGAATATAATATTCTTGAATAATTTTAAATATGTAATAACTTTCACAGCCTGTGAAAAATTTCTGCACAGGGTCTTAAATAAAGTACATCTGGTGTGACGTTTTGCTTTATTGTCAATATGTGTCATGACGTGTTGGAATCTGGCGTTCGCCAATTTTTGGGCATGTGGAGTCATTGGTATCATTTTAAAGCTTGTTCATTTATCTGCCATTTGATGGAAAAATATACTCAATTAGCTTGAGTAAAATTCAAGATATTTGCAATTGAAGGAGGTGGGGGTCTCCTGGTTTAGGCGGTTAAATAATCAAGAAAAACGGCCGCTAAAGTTCGGTAACTTCCAACGCTTGAGAGTCCTTGGAAACTGAAAATTTACTTCTTTGTGTATCTAATCATCGTTTTTCAGAAATATAAATACAGAAATGTACTTGATGCCACTGTCTTCGATTTCATTAATTGGACGAGCACAGGCCATTCCCAAAGGGGGGTATTAACATGTTCTTATGCACAGTAGAGTTGTAAATGGGCTGATTTATCAATGTCATGCTCATACTGTGCCGAAACAACATAACGTGAACTGCTGCTTTTTCTTTCCTCATCCTTACTATCGTCATTTTTTCTCTACTTCTTTTGTATATTTGTCACACTCTTGGGCTATTTCAGGGGTACCTTGATAGTCAATGCAGACTTTGTGCTGTTGAGGTTAGAGAGGTGAGCAGAGTAAGTCTGATTCCGCCATTGGACTTCTCTTTTGACATCCATCCCTTGGCGCTCATATGACCTTATGCAGTTGCAAACCCCGAAACTAAAACTGGTTTCACTACGATGCTTCACATATTTATTTTCCCTTGACCTGTAATTGATTATTTTACAAAAGTAACATACAGCTCGTGCAATGTCATTTCATATACCTACTTGTGTTCTTACCATACCCTTTAAAGACATACAAAAATTCCGTAGGAACAATAAAGAAAGTATCCGCTTATCTGATCTGATCTTTTCTTACCTTATCTTAACTCATCTTATCTTGTCTTATCGTATCGTATCGTATCTTACCACATCTCATCTCATCTCATCTCATCTTATCTCTTAAGATCGTATGTCCTATAACGTACCTGTCCACTATGACCCACATCTCTGCCCGTGTGTGTGGGGTAGGGTCTGGGCGGCGTGAGTACTCGGGACACTGCACCGCTCACTGCCATCTTGGGGAGCCCCTGGGGCATGCTGGGGGAGAGACAGTGAGAGCATGAGTGTGAGTGTGTGTGTGTGTGTGTGTGTGTGTGTACC